TTTAATTTCCATGTGTTAATGCTTCTGTGATTTTCTTTGTTATTGATTTGCAGTTTCATTGGGCTGTCCTCAGAGAGTATGTGTGGGCTGATTTCATTTCCTTTACAGTTACTTAAACATGTTTGTCAGCTGGTGTACAGTCTGTTTTGGAAAATGCCCCATGTGCAGCATAGAAGAATGTATATTCTGATGTTTGTGGTGGAGTACTCTGTAGACATCTACCAAGTCTATTTCATGGGCTTGGTTTAATTCTAGGATTTCTCTGTTGATGTTTTTTTCTATTTGATCTCTACATTTGTCATTCTCTAACTTTTTTAGTCTACAAATTTCTTTTTGACTTAAATGTCTGTCTGTCTGTCTGTCTGTCTGTCTGTCTGTCTGTCTGTCTGTCTTTCTGTTTCTGGTTTTTGGTTTTTGTTTTTTTTTCCAGTACTGGGGATTGAACTCAGGACCCTCCACTTGCCACGAAGTTGCTTATTCTACTGAGCTATCTCCCCAGCCCTGATTTCTCCATTTGTGAGAGTGGAATATTAAGGTCTCCCACTGTGATTGTGTTAGTGTGGATTTGGTTTTTCATGTCAGTTTATATTTTCATGTAGTTTGGTGAACCTTTATTTGGTATATCAATATTTGTGATTGTTATCTCGTCTTAAAGTTTTCCCATAATGAATATGTAGTGACCTTCTTGGTGTCTTTTGATCAGTTCTGACTTGAAGTTCACATTGTCTGCAAGTAGAACAGCTACCCCTGCTTTTTTCTGGATTCCTGTGGCATGAAGAATTATTTTCTGTACTTTGACTTTTAGTCTGTGAACTTCTTTTGGATTATATGTGTTTCTTCAATTGAAGAAACCATATTGTTGGATCTTGCTTCTTGACCCATTCTGCCAGTTTGTTTTTGATTGGTGAGTAGAGACTATTTACATTGATGGTTATAACTGATATGTATTAGCTTTTTTTTTTTCATGTTGTTTCTTTGTTATTTATTTGTTCCCTGAATTTCTGTTCATTTTAATTGCTTATCCTGCCTAGCAGCTTCATACTATTAGTGTTGCTGCACTTATGGGCTTAGTTGTCTCTAATACATTTTCCAAAGCATGCTGTAGAGCTGGTTTGGTGGTCATAAATTTCTTCCGTTGTTTTTTGTCATGGAGTATCTTATTTCATCATCAGTTTTGAAAGACAGTTTTATTGAATATATCAGTCTGGATTAAAGATTGTTTTCCATTAGGTCTTGAAATATTTCACTCTAAGGTCTTCTAGATTTTATAGTTGATATTGAGAAGTCTGCTATGATTCTGATGGGCTTTTCTTTGTCGAAGATATGTTTCTTTTTTCTAGATGATTTTAAAATTTTGGTGTTTTTGTTTTGTAGTTGTTTAATTTCTGGAATCTTGATTATTATATGGCTTGGCATGGATTTATTTTGAGTTTCACTATTTGGAGTTCTATATGCCCCATTTATTTGAACATCAAATGCTTTACCACGTTTGAGAATTTTTGTGCCATTATTTCTGTGAACAGATTTTTAATGGCATTTGCACTGTGTCCAGCTTTCTTACTAATTCCAATCAAGCTTATGTTGTTCTTCTTTGCTTCATCCTGTAGTTGTTGGACTGATTTTTTTGTAGTCTCTTATAATTTTTCAGGTATCTTTCTTTTCCTGGTCAATAGTTGTGTTTCTGTCTTCTAGATCTCATATACTATACTCATCTTTTATTTTGGTAGTCTAATGTTTTCCCTTTAGGGATTATTTTTTCTATATCTGCTTCCATTTTTTTTTTTAACTTCTGCTATTATTTCAGAGTTCTGTTTGTTGGTTTATGATTTTCTTTTATCTCTGTATGTTCTGGTCTTGACCTGTGGGCTGGGCAGTTGGGATTGCATTTTGCTTTTTTGTGTTCTCATTTTCTACTTTATTTTGTTTTCTGTGATAATGCTTTTAGATTTCTAATGTTAGATAACCTTGTGACTAATGTCAAGGCTTTCCTAGGAGGTGTCTGTTCCTCGATATCACTGTTACTTCTCTCACTGACACTGCCATACTCCTCTTGCCAGTGCTGCCATATTCCTTTCATCAGAAAGCTTTCATTGTCCCAGGGCAATGGAGGAAGGGAAGAATGCAAATTCGCATTCTACTCACCAGCGTTGCTGTCCTGGGGACAGGGGAGGAAGGGCGGAATGTGGATTCATATGCCACACACAGGAACTGTGGGGCAATGGGGATACCCAGAGCATGGATTCACACTACTCACTGGCATCGCCGTCTCTGGGAACAGTTGAGGAAGCCAGAGTACAGACGCACGCCACAAGGAGTCTTCTTCCCAAGGCAGTGGAGGAAGCACAGAGTGCAGACTTGCACTCTACTTGCTGGCACCACCTTCCCAGCATATTGGAGGAAAGACAGGGTGCAAACTAACCCCACAGACAGGCATAGTAGTGACTTGTGATTTTTGTTTGCTTTTGTCTTTTTGAGGCAAGGTCTTATTATGTAGTTCAGCTGGCCTTGACCTCACTTTGTAGCCCAGGCTAGCTTCAGACTTGCAGCAATACTTATGCCTCAGCCTCCTGATGCTGGGATTATGGGCATATGCCACCTACACCTGGCATGGATTGTTATTTTGATTTTTTTAAGTTAGAGTCATATTTTGCTATTAATAATCCTTTTTTAAAAATGTATTTTATACAGGGTCTCACCATGCAGCTCAGACTCATAGCGATTCTCATGTTTTCAGCCTCCCTAGTGCTGGGATTACAGCCTGTTCCACCATTCCCAGTTTCAGTGGCTGGCTCAGAGCGCCCCGGGGGCAGGGCCAATGAGGCATGTGATGCCAGTGTGGCATGTGGTACCAGAGATTGAACCCCAGTCCCTTCCCTTGCCTAAGCAGGCACTTAGTCTGCTGAGCTATCTTGCTGACCCTGATAGTCCATATTTTATGATTATAACCCACTAGTGGTTATAAGCCCCAAATTCTGATAATCATAATTGCTTCAAGCTTGTTTCCCTACTAAGATTTCATTCTTCCAAAAAGAAAGACCATTTTTTTCCTAATTCTGACATTGAGGTAGAGTGTTGATTTGCCTATGGAGCCAAGTTAAGGAAAATTTCTCTTTCATCCATTCATGTTAAAAAAATATTTTGTACTACTTTTCCTAAATCACATCCCTATCTTTTGTCCTGATATTACAACTCATTAGGTAGAGATTGGAAATAATGTGTACATACACACACACACACACACACACACACACACACACACACACACTGCTTTTTAAGAATCATTACTGTGGGCTGGAGAGATGGCTCAGTGGTCTAAAGCACCTACTTAGAACAAGCTTGGCAAGGCATTAGGGACCGCGGTTCGATCCCCAGCACCACATGCCAGCCGGCCCCGCCCCCTGGTGGGCTGAGCTGGCCACACACACACCACACACTCTCTCTCTCTCTCTCTCTCTCTCTCTCTCTCTCTCTCAAATAAATAAAAAAAAAAAAAAAAAAAAAAGAATCATTACTGTATTTTCACCTCTTAAGAAGCAGGGAAATGAGACTAGTCACATGTGCCACAAGGTAGACTGTGGTCACACAGAGGCTTGGCATAGAGCAAGGGCTTTATTTTGTTAGAGTTGCAACGAGAGTAACTACTAAAGGGTAGAACACATGGAGTCCTAAAATAGTATGGTTATTATATTTTTGTCTTTTATTGTTTTACTGTTATCATTGTTGCTGTTTTAATTAAAGAAATAGTATTTTGATGAAGAGGATCCATGATCTCAGGAAAACCAAGGTAGAATGTTTCTAGTTGAATGAAGGGTATGTTCTTAATGAGAAATTTACCAGAATTTGATAACTAGCTAATAGCTGTACAGATATGTAGAAAGGATTTATGGTATATTGGACACTTTAATGTTAATTAATTGGTATAAAGTATTTTTTGTTTGCTTGTTTGTTTGTTTGTTCTTGCCAGGATGACAACTTCTACTTGTTGGTCATTGGAGCAGTAGACTCAGGGATGCCCTGCCATAGTTTGTGTGTGTTACTGAGTCCTAAACCCAGTGCTTCATATTTAACTCTGCCACTGAGCTATATTCCCAGTCCTTTTTATTCTGACTCAGGGACTTGCTAAGTTGTCAGGCTGGCCTCCCAACTTGGAGTCATTATGCTTCAGCCACACCAGTAGCTAGGATTATAGGTCTGTACCACGTCCTGCAGATGTGATTAAATAAAAGCCACAGATGAGGTTAGATTTTAAATCAGAAAACCTAGATATAAAATAAAAGTATAGAGATAAAGGAAAATTTAAAATATCTAGGTATGGAAGTATACATACCATTATAAGGCATCTGCTAATAATTAGGCTGTAAGCAGATAAGGATCTAAACCACGTTCTCTCTGCCAAACTGAGTTCTTCCTCTGTTTCATTTTCTTGATGCTGTTTTTTTAAAAAAAAAAAAAACTCATGCCATTCTCAGTGGATTTCCTGTTCTTTGAATGAACAGCTCTCAGATAAATTTCATTCCTATTCATCATGTCAGGAATTCCTTTTACCTCCAGCATGCTTTTCCATGGCATGGTTAGGGCTGGGAGTCTGCCCTAATCTTCCAAGCCTAAGGGGTCAGGACTAAGCTCTGTTCTTTATCTGCTCAGATCATTCTTTGAAATCCCTGTGCTGTGTGTCTTCACTTTCCTTTTGTCTCTTTTGGGTTTATCTTGTCTCCAAGTTTCCCTATTTCTGAATTAGTTATTCTGTTGCCTCTGGTGTGCATTTGATTTCCCCTTTTTCATATCCAGTTTTGAAGATTATGTAGTGTTGAGTGTCATTGCCAGCTTCAGCTCCCTGCTTCCACAGCAGCATGTATGTGTTTTCAATTCAAACTGAAGGGAACTTCAGGAAATCTAGTCTGATAAAGTAATTGACACTGGTAAAGAGTATTTGTATAAAGTTATTATATATCAGAAATGCATTAATATTCATAAGATGTGGTTATTTTTCTCATTTCTAGAAAAGAAATGGAAAGCTGATGACCTGTTAGAGAGCAGCCAGGAAAATCAAGGTGAATATTTTTGGCAGCTCATGGTCACCAACAACAAAACAGTAAGTGTGGAAAGTGGTGATAGAATTCGGAAAACTTTCAGTCTGGACACAAACACAATTTCTTCAAGAAATTTTCCCTTCAAAATATGTGACTCATGTGAAATGAGTTT